CAGCTGCCGGCAGCCCCGGGCCCCAGGCAGAGGACCGGTACGCCTGGGCCAAGCGGGCATAGATGATGCCCAGCACCACACCGGGCGCCAGGACGCTGGTAGAAAAGAGCACCGTCAGATAGAGCCGGAAGGCCACCGGTGTCCAGGTGGGGATGCAGATGCGCTTGTGGGGGCCACCCCCCTCCCGCAGCTGGGTCATTGCCATCATGGGGGCTGTAAGCAGGAAGGAGAGGAGCCAGAGGACGGCACTGGCCAGCTTGCGGTAAGAGTTGCCAGCCCGCCTGGCCTGCAGTGGCCTGGCCACTGCCCAGTACCTCTCCAGGCTCATGGCGGTCAGGAGGAAGATGCTGGCGTGCATGGTGAGGAGGTCCAGGCTGAGCAAAAGCCTGCAGCCTACGTCCCCGAAGAACCAGTCATGGGCGAAGTAGGTGCAGACCACAAAGGGGATGGTGGAGAGGTACAGGAGGTCAGCCAGGGCGAGGTTGATCACATAAACCCCCAAGGACCCCGCTGAACGGCCTGCCACCCTGCCAGAGGCCACCACCACCGTGTAGATGTTCCCCACCATCCCAGTGAGGCACATGACCAGCAGCACTGCACCCAGCGGCCCCGTGACCGGGCTGTCCCCTCCCAGGACACTGCTGCTGTCACCCCCACCACTGCTTTCCTCTGAGAAGCTGCCACCCTCGGGATCCTCTCCAGGCCTTGTGCTGATGGGGGAAGGATCACAAGACATCTTTGGGTAGGGCAAGCAGGAGCAAATCAGGCTGTCAAAGACCTATTCCTTCCCTCTGCCTTCCTTCCTTGCTGTATGGGACACGTCCAGCCTTAACAAGAGAGGGAAGAATGGCAAGAGTTCAGCAGACATAGGGTACTCCAGAGAAGTCTATTCCTCACCTCCAGCCGCCCAGTCCATTTTGTTGATCTTGCTCATCACAAGCTCCATCCAGTAGTGTTCCTTAACCACCAAAGGGCTGAGAATGGGACACCTCCCTCCCACTCAAGACCAACAGGCACAAAATAACCTCTTCCAGCCAGGAGGAAACGTCTCTGCTCTTCACCAGCTCCTCGCTTTTTGCTTCTTCAGTGTTCGTTGGGCCCACAGAAGCCAGCAGGCTCAGTGGACAAGTGGATTTCTCCTTCTCCAAGGACTGTGTCCTCTCAGCTCAGAGAAACTCTGGAGAGGTGGGCTCTGCCCCCCTGAACCAGCCCCTGGAGAGTTGCCTTGTCCACTGCACAGAGGAATGTGTCTGACTCACAGCTTCACACACCGGTGCGAACGCAGTCCCAATTTATACTGGGCTCTTAGCCACTAGATGAGGAGCTGTGCTGGCTTCCTCCTCTTTCTTGCAGACATGCTCCTTCTTCCCCAGTGCCTTCCTCCAGCTCCCTCTTCTTGTCCTTTCTTCCTTTTCTTTTCCTCATTTTTGCACAGTTTTCTTCATTTGAAAGAGGATATGGCTGAAAGCCAAGACTTCCTAAAGTGGCAGGGGGGAAAAGCTTCAAAGTGGCTTTAGAAGGGAAACAAGGGCCAGCCCTGGAAGTGCAACAGGCAGGGAGCTGCCACACTGCACTCCTTGGCCCTTAGCCAAGCCAGGCTGAGAGGGCCTGTCCCCCACTCCCTTCCAAGGACATCAGGACCCCTTGAGTTGTAGACAATGGATGTAGTCTCCAGTTGGCAAGCAAGCTCACATTTTCTATGACCTGGCCCTGTTCCGCCCTTGTCCCCCAGTCAGCAGCAAGCTCATAGAGACTCAAAGGGCTGGATATTTTAGACCCAC